ACTTTAAATGATTATTCTCTCATAGACTTTATCTAAAAATTTTTAGAGAAAAGACTTATAAAGTCTTCCTCCACTCCCTCCCAATAAAGTTGACATTTTAAGCTCTAACTAATCAAGAGTGTTTGAGCACAATCTTTGACAGAATAGTTAATGCTTCATAAGAAATTTTTTTGGATTTGAACTATATGAAAGAGAGTTCATGATACCATTCTGTGAAGTCCATTAAACAGCTTGCTCTTACCGATGAACATATAAAGTTCATGTGTATCAATTCCTTTACTAGGAACTGGAGATGATGAAAATTAACTATAAACCAGGGGAATGCAAATCCTTGAGTTCTCACCTTTTCCATAGACAAAAGCAAACAGAAAGATCCTGCATAATTGACACTTCTTCTCTAGAATGTGAATACTGGACTGTCCATGACAAGTGTAAACTTAATATTTGTGAATTATTCCAGGGTGTTAGTAGATTACCAGAGAGATACAGACAACTAAAGAAACTTATTGCATTGCCTTATCAAGGACATTTTAAGGTGACTTAAAATTACATCATAGAATGGAAAGATATCCCATGTTTGTGGATTGGAAGACTTGGTATTATAAAGATGGCAATGCTACCCAAAGCAATCTACAGATTCAATGCAATCTCTACCAAAATCCTGGCAACCTTTTGCAGAAGTGGAAAAATTGATGCTAAAATTCATATGGAATTGCAGAGGACTCTGAATACTCAAAACAATCTTGAAAAAGAAAGATAAAGTTGGAGGACTCATGCTTCCTAGTTTTAAAAATCTGCAATAATTAAAACAGTGTGGTCCTGGCATAAGGATAGACATATAGATCAATGGAATGGAATTGAGAGTCTAGAAGTAAACCCATACATCTATAGTCAATTGATTTTTGACAAGGGTGCCAAGACCATTCAATAGGGGAGAGGACAATCTCTTCAACAAATGATATTCACATGCAAAAGAATGACGCTGGATCTCGACCTCACACCATCTACTAAAATTAACTCAAAATGGATCAAAGACCTAATTGTAAGAGCCAAAACTCGTAGAAGAAAGCATAAGGGTAAATCTTCGTGACCTTGGAGTTGGTAATAGATTCTTAGAAATGACACCAAAAGCACGAGCAACAAAAGGAAAAGTAGATAGGGGCTGGCCTGGTGGCGCAAGTGGTTAAGTGTGTGTGCTCTGCTGCGGTGGCCTGGGGTTTGCCGGTTCGGATCCCGGGTGCGCACCAACGCACTGCTTGGCAAGCCATGCTGTGGCAGCGTCTCATATAAGTGGAGGAAGATGGGCACGAATGTTAGCCCAGGGCCAGTCTTCCTCAGCAAAAAAAGAGGAGGATTGGCACATGTTAGCACAGGGCTGATCTCCTTACCAAAAAAAAAAAAAAAAAAAAGGAAAAGTAAATAAATTGGACTTCATCAAAATTTAAAACTTTTGTGCATCAAAAGATACTATTAAGAAAGTGGAGGTCTGGCCCCGTGGCTTGGCGGTGAAGTGCGCGCGCTCCGCTGCTGGCGGGCCGGGTTCGGATCCTGGGTGCGCACCGACGCACCGCTTCTCCGGCCATGCTGAGGCCGCGTCCCACATGCAGCAACCAGAAGGATGTGCAGCTATGACATACAACTATCTACTGGGGCTTTAGGGGGAAAATAAATAAATAAATAACATCTTTAAAAAAAAAAAAAAAAGAAAGTGGAAAGAGAATCTACAGAATGGGAGAAAATATTTGCAAATCTAGTAACGGCCTAGTATCCATAATATATATAAAAAAACTCTTATAACTTAACAACAAAAAGACAACCCAATTAAAATATGGGCCAAGACTTGATTGGACATTTCTCCAAAGAAGATATACAAATGGTCAACATACATATGAAAATATGTTCCACATCATTAGTCATTAAGGAAATGCAAATCAAAACCACAATGAGATACCACTTCATACCCGTAAGGATGGCTATAATTAAAACAAACAAACAGAAAACAGAAAATAAGAAGTGTTGGTGAAGATGTGGAAAAATTGGAACTCTCATGCTTTGCTGGTGAGAATGTAAAATGGTGTAGCCACTGTGGAAAACAGTTTGGCAATTCCTCAAAAAGTTAAATACAGAATTACCATATGACCCAGCAATTCTACTTCTAGATATACCCAAAATAATTGAAGACAGAAATAGTCAAACAAATACTTGTACACAAATGTTAATAGCAGCACTATTCACGGTAGCCAAAAGGTGGAAACAACCCAAATGTCTATCAGTGGATGAATGAATGAACCAAATGTGGTCTATTCATACAATGGAATATTTTTCAGCCATAAAAAGGAATGAAGTACTGATACATGCTATAATGCAGAAGAGCCTCAAAACATCATGCAGACACAAAAGGTCACATATTGTGTAATTGGATTTATATGAAATACCCAGAAAAGGTAAATCTAGAGATGTAAAGCATATTAGTGGTTGCCAGGGGCTGAAGCAGGGAGAATGGTAGTGACTGCTTAATGAGTACAAGATTTTGTTTTGGGGTGACTAAAATGTTTTGGGACTAGGTAGAGGTGATGGTTGCACAACTTTGTGAATATACTAAATGCCACTGAATTGTACACTCTAAAAGGGTTAATTTTATGTTATGTGAGTTTTACCTCAATTTAAAAGAAATTGCATCATAGTTTTTGTGATCTCATAGATAACTGTGGCTTTGCTGTCATAGTTACCTTGTGACTGTTGGAACCCATGTGCTTTGTAGCATTAGTACATCGGGGAAGTTCTTTCCACCTGTGGGCAGGAAAACCCAGATGGATGATCCCAAGTACGTTTCTTCCTAAAATAACAATTAAGGAATATAGTTTTGCTTTTTCATTTTTATTCGTAGAAGCTAGTAAGACTTCTACCTTGAGTCAGCCCTGGGTTGTTTGAGAATGTGATCTGGACTGATATTGATTGGTTTCTTCATTTAATTTGAAAAGGCGTGTTTAAAATAACTTCATATTATTTGGAGATGGAACACCTTTTGGTTTTATGAAAATTAAGAGTAATTTTTAAAGAATCAAAGATATACCTGTGGAATTGCAGTAAGATTTTTCTGATGGTTTGCTATACTGCATCTTTAGAGATTTTTGTGACACTTTCTAAAACCATACAAGTGCTTTTTATTGTCAGTGGAATTGGTATCAGGAATAAGAAAATTCTGTTTTCAGATCAATCAAGCAGCACTTGTACAAAAGCTAAATACCTTAGTTTCTTATTTTTGTCTTATACCTGTTTTGTTTTTGGAAGGATGGACTTTAGGTTAGATTCTGGCAATAGATCTGAGATTGAGAAGATCTTACTCAGAAAGGTAAAAGTGCTTTGCCAATGATCATAAAGCTTTTCTTTATGAATGAAGTTGGTACTTCTGCCCCATAGTCCTGCTTCTGCCCCTGTGTTGTATGTGGACTTGTTTCTCCAGCAGATGTATTTATGCTAGTTGTCTTGCATGCTCCCACCTGGTTCCTCTTATGACCCAAAATATGCCATCCAGGCTGAGAGTTTGTAGACATGAAGCAAACAAAGCTAAGAGTTTGTAGTGGATTGAACCCACAGCTTTTGGCCTCATTAGCATCATGTCCCAATCAACTGGACTAGAGAATAAAAGAATAAATGCCTTGCTTGAGTAAAGGCTTTGCGACTTTCAAGTTAGAATGGATCTGGTAAGTATAGCAAAGTATCTGGAATAAATGTAATAAGCTGATGTAGTGGGTGAATGTGAGTATTCAGTGTAAAATAATTATTTCTTTTGACTCCATAAAATCAGGAAGATTTACTTTTTGTGATGTTCACTGGATAATTTTTTTTTTAAATAAGAAAAGGTCAATTTTTAACTTGTGGAGAATTAAAAGTTGTTTTTCAATAAATTATTAATTAGGAAAATTTTCAGACAAGAGCTGGTTTAACTAGACATTAAGCTACTATACCAAGACAGCAGTAAAAGTGAAATAGGTGGATGAGACTGCAGCCTACTGCAAGATTATATTTGCCCAGGAACCCATGCCTATGAACAGCAGCATAGTGCGTTTCCTTACACAATTCACTTAACCTGTCTGTGCCTTAGTTTCCTCATCTGGGCAATTAGAATAGTATAATCTACCTTATAAGGTTGTTATAAAGATTGAATTAGTTAATGTGGTTAAGGCTCTTAGAACAGTGCTTGACACAGACTAACAGCTTGCTATGTGTATGTTAAAGACATAAGAATGATGGTGAAAGATAACTGGGAGCTACTTTGGTGAGGTGTGCTTTTTTGAGAGGCAAACTTGTTTACATTCACAGATGCTGATAGTCCTGACCCTCTCGAGTGTTTGTTGAAAACATAGTTACTCTCTCATTCATTCACCAAGAGTTACTGTGTGCCCATCATTGGCACTGGGCAGAATGGAATGACATAGGGATAAGGGTCAGTGACAAAGATGAAGATAATATAGTTCCTTGGCCTGGAACTCACAGTCTAGACCATCTTTTGTACCTCTAGAATCCAAGCCAGGAAAACTCCAGGGATTTGAATGGAAGAGCATCAGAAAACAGCACATCCTTAATGGTGTGCATTCTTGAAGTTGTAAGGCCACACATCAGTTAATTTTATCATTTCTGCTCAGCTATCTCAAACTTAGCTAGGAGAGAGAGAGATGGTAACTCATTGGTGTAAAGAATGTTAAAATTACAGATTTTAATGAATCATCTTGTTCTGATCTATTATCAGAGACAATTGAATGTGCCTTATTTCCATTTATATTTTTCAGTTTCTACTAGCATTATTAATAATTTTAAATTGCTAGTTTGTATTTTAATAACCTCTTTTTACTCTTCTCACCCGCTTGGTTTTTCTGTTTGTGTATAGTTCTGGTGAAAATGAATTAGGAAAGAAGATTGATGAGATTGGATAACTCAGCTTCGTAGAATATACTTTATCTTTTTTCTTATGAAGTGATGACATGCTGCTTGTTTTATAGGACTGAATTGCAACTGCAGAAGCAACAACAAGTGAACCTTTAAAGATGCATAGGGGCTGCATAAAGTGAAGAGAGAAACTGGAGAAGCCAATAAAGTCAGAAAAAATTATGTTTCCCAGGTAAATAGTATGCTTCTGGATTTTAACAAGTTTCTTGCCATATCAATTACCGTAACTTAGTAATGCCTAAGTCTTTATAGCCATATTTAGTCTGTATTGCTGTTGAACGTTCTTCATTTTCTCCTCTCTCGGTTTTTATTGTTGACTCTTTGATCAAATGATTTTTTTTGGATTAATCTACAAATCTCTATTGTATTCTGTATTTATATTTAGATGATTTCTTCGATCACTCGATAGGAACCTGTTATATCTTAGGTTGACTGTTGGGTATTATAAAAGTAGAGTTGTATTTTGTGTCTCTGTGATGTGCAGGTTTAATCCAAGGCCAACTTTTAGTCTGAGTGCAAGCCGTATTCTCAGGCTACAAGATGTGTGGCACTGCTCTCTGAAATAGGAAACATTTTGGGGCCGGCCCCGTGACTTAGCAGTTAGGTGCGCACGCTCTGCTGCTGGCGGCCCGGGTTCGGATCCCAGTCGTGCACCGACGCACCGCTTCTCCGGCCATGCTGAGGCCGCGTCCCACATACAGCAACAAGAAGGATGTGCAGCTATGACATACAACTATCTACTGGGGCTCTGGGGGAAAAAATAAATAAATAAAATTATTAAAAAAAAATAGGAAACATTTTTCAATGCTAAATTTAATACTACAGACGAAGCAGCAGACTGGAAATAATCAATGTAAATAGACATAGCCTTCACTTAGTGAAATAGATATGCCCTACTAAAATTTTATTATTATTTAATTATTTATTTATTTTTTGAGTTGAGAACTCAACTTATTCTGTTATTTAGCTACTCACAAGCTTAGACTTTGTGGGGTGTTTTTTGTTGTTAAAGTTTTTAAATAAAGGAAATCTATTACATTATTTTTCATTATAAAGTTAAGAACGTTTTTCTGGTGTGCTGAGTAGAAATTTTTGGAAAGAAAGGGGAGGAAATGGAGTTAGAGTCATTGATGGTATATAATGCTGGAAGTTCTGTGCATAACATCCTGACTTAGACAATTCCATGGCAGCATCACTCCTCCAAAGTCTGGGGCCACTCAGCCCATGGGAATTTTTCCACAATTGTAGCTTCTGGAACGTCCTGCCTTATTGTGAATTGCAGCAAGTCTACTGTTGGATATATGATATATTCCAGCTCGCTCATTCTTTAACTTTGAGTAGTAAGGTTGAGTAAAAATTATTTAGTGGCCTCGTATATCAATCTTCTAAACTAAAAATGGCATAAGACGAGTTTACTTACAAGTAAACTCATACGCATGTTTTCCAGTACTTACCTTCACACCAACTCTGCTTCGGTCACACTGGTCTCCTTGCAGTTCTTCAGTCCATCCAGAGATGCTCCTGCCTAAAATCTTCCCCTCCCAGATAGCCACATGGCTCCCGCCCTCCTTCTCCTTCAGTTTTCTGCTGTGAGGGCAAAGTTAATGGAAGGACAAAACCAAATTGGAATCACCAGGAATTTTCTGTTACATTGGTCTGTGTACCTACTACATGGCAATACTGAGCCATCTTGCCTAGCTCCAGCTTATCTCATTTTTTTCCACTCCACTCCTCAGCTATCAAGTATGGTGTTTTGTTTATTCTATACATCATGCTTTTTCTATTTCACCTTTAAGATCTTTTAAAATTAATCTTTCATTTTTAAAAGCACATACCGTTTGACTCAGCAATTGCATTTCTAGGAATTTCTCTCATATATAATCTCATACAGGTATGCAGGTAACCCTGTACCACTTCAGCCCTGTTAAATCCTCATGCTTGCTTCCTGTCTCAATAGCACTTCAACAGAGACTATCTCTTGCTGCCATCCTTCCATTGTAGCCATGGGTCGTGTCCCCCTCCAAGTTACTACTTGGGCAACTGCCTGCCTCTTTGCCTAAACTGCAATGGGCTGGAGACATTTGCACAGTGGCACAGTAGCTAACTATATCCCCTTTCAGTTTTCTTCTTTGTTTTTTTTTTGTGTGTGTGAGGAAGATCAGCCCTGAGCTAACATCTGATGCCAATCATCCTCTTTTTTCCTGAGGAAAATTGGCCCTGAGCTAACATCCGTGCTCATTTTCCTCTACTTTATAAGGGACGCTGCCACAGCATGGCTCCACAAGCAGTGTGTCGGTGCGTGCTCGGGATCCGAACGAGCGAACCCCGGGCTGCTGTAGCAGAGCGTGCACACTTAACCGCTTGCGCCATTGGGTGGCCCCTCAGTTTTCTTCTTTTGAACTCCTGTTCCCTTACAGCAGTCTTCCTCTTCCCATTTGCAAATATCATGAATGGTTATACTTTTTCCATCACATTTTTTAAAGATATTTAGATAATTAAGCATATAGTAGTGGTATCTCTACTTGGCTGCACATTAGAATCAGCTTAGAAGCTTTATAAAATACTAACGCTTGGTCCCACCCCCAAAGATTCTGAGGTAATTTGTCTGGGGTGAAACATAGGCATCAGTATTTTAAAAAGCTGCCTGCGGGGGCCGGCCCTGTGGCTTAGTGGTTAAGTGCCAGCGCTCCGCTGCTGGCGGCCCAGGTTCAGATCTCGGGCGCGCACCGCTGCACTGCTTCTCCGGCCATGCTGAGGCCGCGTCCCACATACAGCAACTAGAAGGATGTGCAGCTATGACATACAACTATCTACTGGGGCTTTGGGGGGAATAATAAATAAATAAATAAAATTATAAAAAAAAAAAAAGCTGCCTGGGTGATTTTCATGTGTGGTCAAATTTGAAGACGGGAAATACTATTGATTTTTCTATAATGATAATAACTCTGGTCACCTTAAATTCGTCCTAACCATTTAAAGGATTCCTTTGGGTTTATAAATATACAATGGTGTTATATATGAAAACATTTTGTCTCTGCCTTTACTGTATTTGTATTTCTTGTTTGTTTTCATGTTACTTTGTATTGGAAAGAACTTCTGATACTATATTAACAGTGATGATAAAATGCTTCTTCATATTTTGTCTGTTTTTAATGACTGCATGGCTCATTTTTTCCTTGAAGTATAATATTGGCATTTGGTTTTAAATAGATACTCTAATAAGGGTAAGAAAATATACCTTTGTGATTAGTTTTAGAATTTTTAAATTAAAAATAGATGTTGGATTTTAACAAATGAATTTTTGGTATCTGTTGATATGACACAAATTAAAATTTTAATTTTCCTAGATTCTATTTACTATCATTTTCTTTTAAATTTTTGAGCTGGAATTCTAAGTAAGCTTTGTCTATAGTTTTCTCTCTTTTCATTTTCTTTAGCCAGTTTTAGGATTAGGTTAGTAGAATAAACTAGATAACCTATATCTTGATCTATTTTAGGTATGATTTCTGTAATGTGAATTGTTTGTGTCTGGAGAGTTTGAAAGGATTTGCTAATAAACCATCAGAGACTAGTTGCTTTGTGGGGATGTAGTTATTTGATTTTTTTTTAAAAAGATGTTGGTCTAGTTAGGTATTTTTATTTTTGCCAATGTTAGGATTTTACATTTTTAATAGAAAAATCCATCTATTTAGTTTTATCCAAATTTATTAACATATACATAGTATTCCCCTACAATTTTATTGCCTCTTTTTATGTCCTATTTTTCCAATTTCATGCATTTCCTTTTTTTCTTTGTAACTAAATTTACTGTAGTATCACTTTTAGTCTCTTCACAGAAACTTTTAGTTGAAACATAAAACTTTGAAAGTACAAAAAGAGGTAGTGAAAAATCATTTGCCTCCTCACTCCTGTTCCCCAGGCAATCAGTTCCCTTCTCATAGGCAGCACCTCCTGTGTTTCATATGGGTCCTTCCAAAGTATTTTGGTATTTGCTTTCAAAATATCTAATTCCTTTCTTTTTTAAAAAAGTACCTCCAGGTTTTTTTTTGCTTGTTTATTTCTCGAGATTACTAGTTGCATGTTTAGTTTTTATTTTTGTCTTTTGGCAATACTTAAAGCCATGCTTGTCCTCTATTCTTTTTTTCATAGCCTATGGATTTCCTGTGTAGTGATTTTGTTACATTTTCTAACTTCATTATTGCTGTTTCAGAACTTATCTCTTGCAAGCAGAATATTTTGGGTTTTGTCTTCTGTTCAACCAATCTTGAAGATTCTATAACTTATATGTGAATTTATCCTCTTTAATTTAGGGTTACTATGACATTTGTTATGTTTTCTATATACATTTTGTTTCTTAATTTTTATATTTCTTAGTTGTCTCTCTCCTTTTTTTTTTGTGAGGAAGATCAGCCCTGAGCTAACATCCATGCTAATCCTCCTCTTTTTGCTGAGGAAGACCGGCTCTGCACTAACATCTATTGCCAATCCTCCTCCTTTTTTCCCCAAAACCCCAGTAGATAGTTGTATGCCATAGTTGCACATCCTTCTGGTTGCTGTATGTGGGACGCAGCCTCAGCATGACCAGAGAAGCTGTGCGTCGGTGCGCGCCTGGGATCTGAACCCGGGCCGCCAGTAGCGGAGCGCGCTCACTTAACCGCTAAGCCACGGGGCCAGTCCAGTTGTCTCTCTTCTGTTTTACCTTCTGTCTTATGGAATGTGCTTTCCCTTCTTTTAACTTTTAAACACATTTTAAAGGTGAACAATCTTTTGAATTCTCTTAGTGCTAAAAATAACACTTGTTTCTATGTTTATTTACTATCATCAAAGCAAAAGCAGGAACTTTCCTTTCCTTCCGTATAAGGAAACTCAGTTTCTCCCTGTTTTGGCATCCCCTCTTCCTATCCTTATCTACCCCCATTATTTTTTCCTTTCACATTTTGGGTTTGTTCTTTGAGGTGTACTAATTCTTCTGGGCTTCAGCCTAGTACTCATAAGGATTTTGCTATTTTTGATTCAGTTAGTTAACAACCATCGAGGCCTCACTCTGAGTTGGATGGACACTGAGTTAGGTGCAGGAGATACAAAGATGAGGCAGTTCTGTTCCTGCTTCCTGCCTTCGGGGTTCCCTTTCTGGTTGAGGAAGTGGCATGAATACACACCAGCAATGGCAAA